CAAAAGTGAGATCTGCTGTTTTTCTTGAACTATTTCATTCTAAAACAAATAAATGATCATGAAATTATTATATTATGAGACAATTATTAAATGACTTGAAAGGAAAAGTATTCTAACATGAGTATTAAGTTATGTCTGTATATTTAAGCACTTTTCTTTATAGTGATTATTCTTAATATTTTTAAGCAAATGAAGATCGGGAATATTCAGAAGAAGGAAGTGGCAGAAGAGAAAGTCAACGCCAACCTAAAGAAAGTGAGTTTAATTTATTTTATTGACCCAAAATAAAAAAAGGCTCATGATAACATGGATCCTGTTTTATCTCTTCATAGAATATTATCTGAACATTGAATCTATAATCCTCAATACACTTTCATCAATATCAAAAAATTATGAACAGACTCACTCATGAACAGAAATTAGAAGACTCACCGGACTGTCTGGATGATGGGCTGCCGTCTGCCATCTTCACAACACATTTCACAAAACATTAAGAAGTTAACCGTTCCAGGCGAGTGATTTTACTTTGCTGCATGTTTATAAATAAAAGTGCAAATATTCAACAGCACAAACAGGTTGGACTTAAAATTAGAGTACAGTCTAACTAAACAAACTGTGTCTCATGATCTTATCAGTGTGATCTGGCAGAGGATAGAGAATATTTCAACACTCTTGAAATATGTCTGAGTACTTTCAACTGTGGGGTTTAAAAAGTGTTGCAAATTATGACAACTCAAATACTGCTTCAGTAACTTTGACAACATTTGAAGTACTCTGCCTTGAAGCTAAACTACTTTGCTATTATTTTACTGTCCAGGACTTTCCAATGAAACGTTAATATGAAATATTATCTCACTCTTGTATGTAATATTATGTCAGAGTCACTGTTTGGTTTTTAAGCATTCTGGAGGCACACACAGGCTGCATTCATTCATTTTCTTTTCGGCTTAGTCTCTTTATTCATTCATACACACTAATTCACACTCATACTCTACAGACAATTTAGCCTACCCAATTCACCTGTACCGCATGTCTTTGGACTGTGGAAGAAACCGGAGCGCCAAGAGGAAACCCACGTGAACGCTGGGAGAACATGCAAACTCCACACAGAAATGCCAACTGACCCAGCTAAGGCTTGAACCAGCGACTTTCTTGCTGTGAATATACCAAGTATCTTCACCAATTATCTTCTTTTAACAAACGATAGAATTATCAGCTTTCCGATGTTGTATAATCCTCCAATAATTGTCACTTGTAGTTTTGTTTATTTAGTACTTGGTATGTGTAGTTTTACCATAATACCTAAAGAGATTCTTGACTTGCTACACTTCATGCTAATAGTTCACACTGCAGCCTGTGACGCAGTGGCGCAGTAGGTAGTGTTGTCGCCTCACAGCAAGAAAGTCGCTGGTTCAAGCCTTAGCTGGGTCAGTTGGCATTTCTCGTCCTTGTTCTTCATCACGGGGTTGCCCAATGAATCTTGCACCTCTTCAGAAGTCATCCAGTGGAATTCAACTAAGCATGGACAGGTTTGCTTATTTAAACTCTCGTTCTATAAACAACAAAGCAGCTTTTATCAGTGATTTTATCATTAATTGTGGGCAATGATGTGGATTTTCTGTGTATCTGTGAAACCTGGCATCAGACAAAAGAATATTTTAACCTAAATATGTGTGCTCTGCCAAGTTACACATATTTAGAGCATCCTCACTCCACCGGCAGAGGTGGTGACTTTGCAGTCATTTACTGTTCTGACGAGACTGTAATTGAGGTAACATTGTCTTGTTTTACAACTTGTGATTTTCTAGCGTTCAAATTGACTGGTACTTCACATCTTGCTCCCACATCACTCCTGCACTCCAAGAGTTACACTGGTTATCTGTTAAGTCACGCATCAATTTTAAGACCTTGATTTTAACATATATAATCAGGAGCAGAACTGTGGACAGATTTATGTGATCTTTTATCTACCTCCTCTTCCTCTCGTAATCTACCTTCCGTTTAGGCGCTCACCTTGGTTCAGCCTCATTGCAAACTTAGCACCATTGGAGGTAGGGCATTCTCTTATAGTGCACCTAAATTGTGGAATGCTCTCCCCACAAACATCAAGGGTCTCATGTACAAAGACTTGCGTTGAATTCATAGTAAAACATAAAAAAATTATTCAGATGTATTAAACACTGCATACGCGGAATCACAAGCATATTCTCTTTGTACATCTGAATGAACGTAAAACTGAGCGCAAGTGCACAAGCACAAAACTCCTCCCTGCCTCCTCCCCCTAATGAATATGGTGATGACTCTAATTTGGCAAAACCAAATGAAAAAGCAATGGCAAAAGCAAGCAAAAAGAGAAACTTTGAACAGAACGTGAATTGGAGGTGCTGCTTTCGGAGGTAGACCGGAAAAAAAAAACTGGGTTATTTGCAAATTTGTCCTTCCGAATTAATAACAAAAGAAAAAGATAGAGTGTGAGAGTTTAGCTGATGCGGTTAACACAGTGGCGTCTGAATTAAAAAAGAAATGGTCTGATGCGAAGGTGTAAAATTTTGTAGTGTCTATTTAGGCTAAGTGCAAATACCACACCTTGTTGGAATAAGCTAGTCAAGTGTTTCCCACCCATCACTGTTTGATTGACAGAGACAACATAAATAAAGAGGGCAGCAGACAGCAGCGTGAGTGGCGTAGCTCGTAAAGCGCATGGCAACAAGTTTTGACACGTTCGTCCATGAACTCGGTTTGAATCCAGTGTCTGATGAACTCATTCTTCTTTTTTCCCATTTACATATCAAATTTTGCCTACTCTTCATCACGAGGAAGACAAGAAGGAATCATTAAAAAGTGTGTGTATAATGTTAAGCGCATTTGAGCACCACATATTATCTGCACATTTATTGAATGTAAATGCTTCTGATTCCAGCGCACATTCTCACGTTCATTTCATCGTTAGTAAATCCAAACGTGAGCATGAAAAACAACGTAGACAAAGTTTTTGTGCATACGCAGTGTTGATACATGAGGCCCCAGGAACCGCAGTTCCCTGAACTGCTTTAAGAAGCTTCTTAAAACTCATCTTTTTATTATTGCTTATAACATTTGAGGTTTTTTTATCGTTTTTTTTTTTTTACTATTTTGTGTATTTCATGTTCTACTGTGTTTTGATGCTCTTGTTAATGCTTTGAGTCTGAGAAAAGTGCAATATAAATAACATTTATTATTAGTGACGCACAAACGGTGCTTCGATACACACACACACAAACCCGAATCCTCCCTTATATAAACACCTAAGAGTTATATGACTGGATAATAGAAATCACACGCGATGACACCATGTGACCCCACTACAATTGCAACAAATGGTTATTTTGTCAAAGTGTTGTATTGAACACGTCTGCAGTGATTGGTATTGGTATTTTTTTGTTTCACTTTTAGTTATAGAGACAAGTAGGTGCAGGCAATTATTATTTGTTTTACTAATTGCATTCGTAATTTGCTTTGCTTACTAACATTTGGTATTGTTTTGTTTGTTGACATTTAATAATTGGTTTTGTCCATTTATATTCATTTATCAGTTTATTTACAAATAATTTTGCTTGCGAGCAGTGAATCATTGTTTCTTTCTCTGATTCTTGGTCAGGTGATGTCAGTGTGAGTGTTTTATGTGCAGACAGGCCTGGTTTAAGTGCAGCGGTTGTTTTGGCAGGGCGTTCATGAACATTTGTGTGTATTAAGCTCATTTTGGGGTATTATTTTTTTACAATTTGTTTATTTTGTTCCTTTTAGTTAGTTTGGGTTTTCTTTTTGTTTTATGTTAATTCATTTTATTTGTTTCATATTGATTTAAATTCTATTTTGATGGTCTATTAATGTTTTGTGTATTATGTTTTGTTAAAGAGTTTATAATAATTTATGTAGCAGGTGCTCTTTTCGGGCTATTATTTGCTAGCCCTTTGTGCCGTGAAACCAACATCCTAAAGTAATCACATTAATTGTGGTAAATGAGAATTTTTTCTTCTTCTTCTTCTTATTATTATTATTATTTTGCTTATATTTAGCTTTCCCATCCTTGATCTCCCTTGCGTTAAACTTAATCCCGTTGGACAGTTCGGCGAGATCAAGATAAAATTCTGTTTTATTTGAGTCCCAAAACACTCCCTCATCTCTCTCGACCTCAGGTCGAGCATCCCCTTTTATTTTTTTTCTGTGGCACATGCTTTTTTGTTGGTGTAGATTCTAAGGGTCTTCCTACACTTACCAACATATTGTAGTTTCCATCATATCTTTACTAGCAGAGATGGTGTAGTCGTGAAATGTTAGTGGGTGTACCCCCAGAGCTGCGTTATTTGCTACACACATTTTCGGCTTTGGCATTTTTAAACACAAAATCTTAAATATATACTGCTATGTAGCTATGCACCTTTCAATCTCTTTTTACAGTCGTGTTAAAAAACCACAACTTGTCTTCAGTAAACATTTGAATGAGACAAAGTCTGGGTGAATTTCTCCTAAGAGACGACAGTATACAGTTCTGACTGACAGACTGCAGGGACTCAGATATACCTAAATCAGTGATCAATAAAAATCACAAGTACAGTGATCTATAATTATTATTATAATTATTTTATTGATTTAATGATTATGACAAAACTGTTCAATTACTGTAGATGCAGTAAAAATACTAACTAAAGCCCACCAATAAATGATTAATAGGATTTCAATATATTAAGGTGCATATATACACATTACTAACATTTATAACATTAAAAGGCTCAATGTAGTACACTTTAAATAAATATTCATTTTTACATGTTATGAGCATTTATAATTACTTCATAATTGGTTTATTGTACATTTAAGGCTCAAAGGAAACAATTATTGGAATTGTTCATTTTAATATCTCACAATGTGTCATTAAGAAATTGTAAAACAAACTTTGGTAAAAATCTAAGATTTATTTGCATATGGAATATATATAGTTAATTCTCTGGGCTTATTTAAATGAGCAACGTGAAAGTTAACTGTAAACTTCAATGTCACTTAACATGCATATTAAAAACATTGTTATTTTAATAATGAATATTCTTTTCTTGTTGATGTGAAACTGAGTAAATGCAAGTGTATTTAAACATATTTATGAAAGGTCTTTTGCTTTTATCTGTATGACCAATGTCATTTACTGAAGCACACAGTTTCCATGATCCTTTTTCCAAGCAGTAATAGTTTCATCATGTGTCTTTTTCATTTTTCGGAGTTCTTCAGCGTGAATCTCTTCAATCTCTTTATATCTATTCTTGATCTCCTCCATCTTCTGCTTACATTGCTCCATTGCCAAATACTGCTCATGCAGAAGTTTATTTTTATTCAGATGGATCTCATCTTCAGTATTTTTAGGCAAAAAAAGTTCTTTATCTAGGTTCTCTGTGTCAGTCTGACCTTCAGGTTGCAAGCTTTTTTTTTGCTTTGCATCGATCTTCTGATCGGTGTGTTTTTTTTTTACACTTTTGACTTCTGGACTTTTAGTTTCCTTTTTGTCACACTTTTCCTTCCTCTTCTGATATTTTTCCTTTACCTTAGGATCTAAAAATGATCCAATCTTTCTTAGTCTTGGCCTGTGCATATTTTTAATTTGATGAGATTCTCCCTCTGTTGTTACTTCTTTTAATTCTTCATTCTCTTCCTGCTTAATCCCCTCTTCATGACCTTTAGATACATATTGATCTTTAGTTTGTTCAGATTCTGTTGTGCCACTGTCCTCTGTTATTTTTCCACTTTGAATTTTTTTATAGAGTTTGGTCTCTTTCTCCAAGAGAAGAAATTCTCGAACTTTTCCTTTTGCTTTTTCTTCCTCCAGTTTCTCTTTGTATTGTTTGATTTCAGACTCATGTTTGGCTTTAAGGGCCTCCATCTCTCGTCTGACCTCCTCCTCTTTCTCTCTGTTAATCTGTTTTAGTCTGAATGCTTTCTCAACCTCCTGAAACATTTGATCATTGTAGAAACTAGATTTATTGTCCCACATCATCTTATCAATCTTCTTCAGCAGCCCTACGACCTGACCAGGGTCCTTCTGTTTATTGTTGAACACGTGAAATCTTCCTCCACAGTCGTGGATCAGCTGTTTGACACGTGAATCTCCATCTTTAATGTATGCTTCAATAGAGTCATCCAGATTGTCTCCTTTGGTGAAGAGCACCATGGTGTAGCTCTGGGCGTTCTGTCCAAAGGTCATCTTGATGAGCTCAAGGGTTTCTCTCTCCTCTCGTGTGAACGGGCCGATAGAGATGAGCAGCAGAAACACATGTGGTCCAGGAGCCGAGAGCTCAATACACCTCATGATCTCCTGCTGGATCACTTCATTACTGAGGCTGGTGTCAAAGAGTCCTGGTGTGTCCACCACTGTCACAGCTCGACCACAGGCAATTCCACTCTCTCTCTGACACACCTTGGTAGTAGAAGTCATTCTGGCCCGAGACTCAAATGCACTGTGTCCCAGGATAGTGTTTCCTGTTGCACTCTTTCCTACTCCAGTTTTTCCAATCAGGACGATCCTCACACACTCCAAGCTTTTCTTAGTTCCTGTAATGGCTATGAACGATAATTTAAAAAAATGAAAATCAGGTCATAGTTAAACTCTTGTTAATAAAAGTTGAGCTTTCATACCTAAACATTTGTTTCAGAACCTGGCACGTTTCCTTAGCTCATTTTGTTTGGGCATATGTCAGCATCTTAATCACGCTTGAATCTTTGCAAAAATATTGAGTCCAAGTTAGACTTAAGGAGGTGACCTCAGCCTCTTTCTTTTTTTTATTCACCCTGGAAAGGCTTGGTTGTACTGAGAAAGCTACCTCTGATACAGTTAGGTCCATAAATATTTGGACATCAACACAATTCTAACATTTTTTTATACATCAACACAATCAATTCGAAATGAAGTGAACAAGATGTGCTTTAACTACAGACTGTCAGCTTTAATTTGAGTATTTACATCCAAATCAGGTGAACGCTGTAGGAATTGCAACAGTTTGCATATGTGCCTCCCACTTGTTAAGAGACCAAAAGTAATTGGACAGAATACTAATTATAAATCAAACTTTTCACTTTTATACTTGATTGTAAATCCTTTGCAGTCAATTACAGCCTGAAGTCTGGAACACACAGACATCAGCAGACGCTGGGTTTTATTCCTGGTGATGCTTTGCCAGGCCTCTACAGTCTTCAGTTCCTGCTAGTTCTTAGAGCATTTTTCCCACAGTTTTGCCTTCAGCAAGTGAAATGCATGCTCAATCAGGTTCAGGTCAGGTGATTGATTTGGCTGTTGCATAACATTCCACTTCTTTCCCTTTAAAAACTCTTTGGTTGCTTTTGCAGTATGCTTTGTGTCATTCTCCATCTGCACTGTAAAACGCCGTGCAATGTGTTCTAAGGCATTTGGATTAATATGAGCAGAAAATATTGCCTGAAACACTTCAGAATTCATCCTGCTGGTTTTGTCAGCATCACATCATCAATAAAACCAGGAGAACCAGTTATTTTTACAGCCATACATGCCCACGCTATGTCGCTACTACCACCATGCTTCACTGCTTAGGATCATGAGCAGTTTCTTTCTTTCTCCACACTCCTCTCATTACTCTAGTTCAAGTTGATCTTGATTTCATCTGTTTATAGGATGCTGTTCAGTCACTGTGAAGACTCTTTCAGAACTCTAATCTGGCCTTCCTGTTTATGAGGCTTATCAAAGGTTTTCAGTGCATCTGAAAAGTACTGATAGCGCTTCACTTTTTCCAGTTTTTTATGTCACAGCCTTATTCCAAAATGAATTGTGCTCTGAAAGTTCCAATGAGCACAGCGGCCTCCATCATCCGTAAGTAGAAGATGAATAACCACCAGGACTCTTCCTGGAGCTGGCCGGCCATCTAAGCTAACTGATCAGGGGAGAAGTGCCTTAGTCAAGAAGGTGATTTATAAACCGATGGTCACTCTATCTAAGCTCCAGCGTTCTTCTGTGGAAAGAGGAGAACCTTAAAGAAGGACAACCATCTGTGCAGCAATCTACCTATCAGGCATCTGTTTTGTAGAGTGTCCAGACGGAAGACACTCCCCGCCTGGAGTTTACCAATAGGCATCTGAAGGACTCTCAGAGCATCAGAAACTAAACTCTCTGCTCTGATGAGACTTAAATTGAACTCTTTGGAGTGAACGCCAGGCTTTTTGTTTGGAGAAAAGCAGGTAGTGCTCATCACCAGGCTAACAGCATCCCTACAGTGCAGCATGGTGGTGTTGGCATCATGCTGTGGGGATGTGTTTCAGCAGCAGGAACTGGAAGACTAGTCAGGATAGAGGGAAAGATGAATGCAGCAATGTACCGAGACATCCTGAATGAAGACCTGCACAAGAGTGCTCTTGACCTCAGACTGGGGCGACCCTTTGTCTTCCAGCAGGACAATGACCCAAAGCACACCGCCAACATATCAATGGAGTGGCCCAGCCCGAGCCAAGACCTAAATCCTATTGAACATCTCTGGAGAGATCTGAAAATGGCTGTACACCATTGCTTCCCATCAACCTGATAGTGCTCGAGAGGTCCTGCAAAGAGGAACGGGCAAAAATTCCTAAAGACAGGTGTGCAGAGCTTGTGGCATCATATTCAGAAAGACTTGAGGCTGTAATCGCTGCCAAAGGTGCATCAACAAAGTGTTGAGCAAAGGCTGTGAATACTGATGTACATGTGATTTTTCTATTTTTAATAAATTTGCAACAATTTCAAAAACTCTTTTTTCACATTGTCATTATGGGGTGTTGTGTATAGAATGTTGAAGAAATAAATGCATCTAATCCATTTTGTAATAAGGCTGTAACATAAACAAAAGTGGAAAAAGTGAAGCGCTATCAATACTTTCCGGATGCACTGTACATCTTGTGGTAAACCCTGTGTATTCACTATGGTGAAGTCTTTTCTTGATTGTTGACTTTGTCATACATACACCTACCTCCTAGAGCAGGGGTGTCAAACGTTTGGCCCGCGGGCAGGATTAGGCTCGCAAACAAATTTAATGCAGCTCGCGAAATGATTCTATGAGCTGCAATTTTTCAATAAAATACACTGCTGTTCCAAATGTGTTCACTGGCGCAATAGCAAATTTAATTTCATCCCATCCAGAAGCCTGAATCAGCGTCAGTTTGACAGCCATCTCTGAGAGAAAGACTTGATCTATACCATCATACCACACCAGTGCTTTTCACACATAGACCGCTCAGGTATATTTGGTGGTGACACATGAATAATACTATTATTATCAACCCTTTACACTTTTTTGTATCCGTCCAAGAAAACGAAACATTCACGATCGATTAACCAATGGAAAATCTTCTCTCGCTCTGCACATTTCCTACTGCTGGTTTTCTGTGTGTGCACGATCTGTCACTCCCGCAGGAACTCTCACATGCTCTGCAGACCCACAGAGATGCGCCTTTTCCACCAAAATGCATCCAACTGCATCCAGGATTCAGGTTTTACTTTCGCTTTCTAAAGTTGCTGCTATTGGTATGCGTTTTTGCATTACCATTTCGCAGCTGACTGTGCGCGCACAGCCTGCGAGAGAAACATTAAATTATTAATCATTTAATAAACAACTCCGATAAACTTTATACTCTGAGAGAACAAAATGATATCTATAATGGCTGCAAAATATTTGTATACCATTATAAATGGCTAATCAACTAATTTGCCTTATTTAAATCTACACTTTTTATTCTAGTATTTATTATAATTTTTAGCAATAATGTCTATTTTTATTAATTTTTTCTGATATTTATTTTTCATTTGCTGTATACTTTATTAATTTAATGAAGTTAATATATTACATACTTTATACATATCTAAAATGCTTTGACAATACTGTAAATGTCATTCCAAAATAGCAACTTTAGAGAAAGAACCCTGTCAGTGGGTGCACATGGCTCCTAAATATCATAGAAGTAAGATGAGTAGTGGATTTCAACAGCCTTTTTAAAATAATTTTAACCCATTAAACAGAAAAGGTGTATAACAGAGTCATAATACATAAACATCAAGTTAAAAATCACATTATTTTTTTGTTTGTCACATGTAGTTGACCATTTATGTGCTGTGGGAAAAAAGGTGTTTTTTCACCAGGCAAAGAATTCTTCAGTCATCCACCACAGTTGTTTCTGTGGTCTTCCAGGTCTTTTGGTGTTGTTGAGCTCACTGGTGTTTTTTTTTTTTTTTTTCACTTTAAGAATGTTCCACACATTTGTTTTTGCCATTTCTAATGTTTTTGCTGTCTCTGATGGGCTTGTTTTGTTTTTTCAGCCTAATAATGGCTTGCTTGACAGATAGTGACAGCTTTTTCCATCTCCTCTTGAGAGTTGACAATTACTTTTGGTCTCTTAACAAGTGCGAGGCACAAATGCAAACTGTTGCAATTCCTACAGCGTTCACCTGATTTGGATGTAAATACTCAAATTAAAGCTGACAGTCTGTAGTTAAAGCACATCTTGTTCACTTCATTTCAAATCCATTATGTTGGTGTATAAAAAAAAATGTTAGAATTATGTTGATGTCCAAATATTTATGGACCTATCTATACGTGTTATTTGTATGAACCCTGTTTGTATAGGCCTTTTAATCATATGCATTTTATATAGATAAATATATATTTTTTTATTGTTTTCTACATTAGGCGCTGCAGGTGGAATTATAATGTTCTGAAGTTCAGATTGAATTCTGGCTTTGGTGAATGTCTGTGTATGTCACTATTAAAAATAAGGGTGCTTTCACACTAGCACTTTTGGTCCGCACCCAGGTTTGTTTGACATCAATGTATGGTATGTTTAGCTAGTGAATCGTACCCCAGACCATTTCTTTCAGGTTCGCGCAAACTCTGGTCCAATTCAATTCTGATATAAATACAATCATACCAAATAACGGAATTGAAACGCCAACATTACAACAAACTTTAGCTTTCATAATGTTCATTTGTGTGTGAATATCTGTGTTTCAACAACCTTGCTGACAAGTGGGACTGACCCAGTGCAAACAGTGATGATGTCTGCTTGTAAAGGTAATGGTAACAAAACCAAGAGATTCAGTAAAAGCAGAACGACCATGATAATCGTACATTTCCATTTTGGTGCTTTGCTTTCGTGGCCGTCACTTAGTAGCAGTTAAACACAAAACAGCAGCTTGATGGTACAAGTGTACTGGGCTTCAAAAGGAAAAAAGACTGTGAACACAAACCAACTGAGGGGGGACAATCGAACTTGGGTTCGGACCAGGCATTCAAACCAAGTGTGTGAGCACCCTAAAAGTATGACTTTTCATTTTACAGTGATGTGTTATCACTCATAGTCATAAATTAAAATAATGACAGGAACAGAAAATATGGAAAGTTTTTGTGCATGTGATTTGTTTTAACTATTTTAGTCAATTTAGAAACTTTGCAGCATGAAAACAAACCTTTAAAGCCACATTGTAACAATTTTAAATGGTTTCCCAAAAACCATCGGTCTCTGGTATGAAAGCACTCTTACTTTTTTATTTAAACTAGGTTATTTCTTTAAATGAATGTTTGGTATTTTAAATTATAACCCATCAGAAAAAGTTGTGACAGTTTGAAAACGCAAATAAAAAAGTAGGAATTTCCAAATTTACTTTGACTTATATTTCATTGCAGACAATACAACAAACATTGTATGTGTCAAAGCAAATATAGAAATCCCTACTTTATTTTTTATTAGCATTTTCCATACTGTCCCAATGTTTTCTGATTTTGGGGTTGTAGTTTAATATCAAAATTAAACCAACAAAACTGACTAAATCATGATGTAATGAAGAAGTCAAATAGGAATGAGTAACAGGTGGCCTGTTACACAAACAATTCAAATAAATGCAAAAAAAAAAAAAAAAAAAACCTTCATGAAGCTCACAGTGAAGTACATTACCCTGGCTAAACCCAATAATAATGTGTGTCTGGAATGCAGATGACAGACCTAAAAACACTCATTGCTAAGCATTTTAAATTAATTGCACAACTTTAAACACATCTAATGTAGTGTTTCTTAACCACGTAAAGGAGGACCACCAACTCGTGTTGGATGTCATCTTTGTCTGTCACACCCATTACAGGTCTTTCAGGCCCTGTTTACACTAAAATGTTTTAGCATACATTTTGCTACATTAACACCATCCCTCCACACTACCCCAAAATTTTCGAGCGCCGAAAATACAGTGTTTTGGAAATGCTGAGGAGGCTATTTTTATTTTAAAACACTGCTGCTACGTGTCAGTGTGGATGGGGAAAACAGAGACATCTAAAAACAGAGGCTTGGCTGCAGACATTCCCCTTCTGAATTGGGGCTTTTTTGAATATTAGGCTAGTGCACAAGTTCAGTCCTGCGTCCTCTCCTTGAGTTCAGACTTCGTTAAATAAACTCCTGAAGACATGTCGGATAAATCTTCAAAGGGAACATTGTACTTTATAGAGTCATTCACATTAACCTGGATACGTTGTTTCACTATCTCAACAATAAAATGAAAACATGATATAGGGAACTGCCTATTTTCATTTGAATATTGCCAAACAGCAGAAATGTTGATGCGTTGTGTAGCTGCATATTTATATGAGCGTCATCTTCACTGTGTGCATATTTATAACAAAACTAGCCATAACATTACTGCTTCCTTTTATTACTATATCAGTTTTAATAATCAATAATGGCCATTATAAAAGTATAACATACAATAAGTTCATATAGTCAATCAGTCAATGTGCAGAATCAGTGTACGTGCTTACATTAATATATTAACTTATCTTTGTGCTCAGCCAAAACGAGTTACCTGAGAATAAGTAATAGATTCAAAATACCAAAGAGTTTCTAGATAGAGACAAGATAAATTAAATATCATGTTAACTATAGTGAGATGAGGTCAAGTGGTAGATCCTTGATAAACTGTCCAACCTGCGCTGCTATCACCCAGGGAGCTGTGCTCAAAGCACCAGCTGACTGCCTGGAACTCAGACGTCCGCACATGCTGCAGCACATGCCAGTGTGTGCGTGTGGTCACGTGATATGTGTTTTCAGCGATATAGTGTGGACAGCGAGTTGTTTAGACGTGCTGGGTAAAACGCCAGTGTGGATGTTGATATTTTTTATTTCTAAACGGCGTTTTAAAACTAAACGTACTAGTGTAAACAGGGCCTCTGCTAATGAGCTGATGATCTGAATCAGGTGTGTTTAAGAAAACACGGAAAATGAGCAGAGCTGGTGGTCATTCAGGAATGTGGTTGAGAAACACTTAGCTGATGCATTTATGCCTAAAAATGACAAATAAATACATTTCAAAAGTTTACTCAGCAAAAACATTTCTGTAATACTCACAGTTTGATCGGTGCAACCTTCTAGGTCTTGCACTTGACATATTGGCATCTTTGGAATAAAATGGTAATTTATTATTACATTTATTCAGGGAGCAAACAATTCCTACCCATTCCTCAACATGATGTATAAATCTATAAATACACATCAATCTTACTGGATCAGATTCCTGACTAAAGTACTGCATCACGGTTGTGGATAGAAAAATATTAGGCAAATGGCATCGCATGTAAAATTGTAATATGCAAAAGCAAAAACTAAGAAATAATGAGGCTGTGTACTGAAAGATAAGGAGTGTGAATCAAAAATGTTTTGTGTGCTTATGATCTTCCTCCTTTGCTCTCCTTCCCACATTTTGTGCTTGCATTTCCAAAAATGCCTTGCAAGCTTCATTTAAATCATGGAAAGACTTCAGCCTCATGAAATTCTAATTGCATCACTTGGAAACGCAATTGCAGAATGTGGCAATGAGGAAAGGGGAAAAGACTATAATCATACAAAACATTCAAATATGAGCAGAAAAACTGAATTTGTCTGAATGCATTTTCATTTTTGATTCACACTCATCGATCAGTACGTGACCTCATTATTTCTTATTCTGCGTTTAGTTTTCACTTTTGCATATTATAATTTTACATGCAATGTCAATATTTTGATTTACGCTTGACTTTTTTTACACCTACGACTGCGATACTTTAGGCAGGAATTTAATCCAATACAATCTAACCAACCATTTCTAAGCAGACATAAGTAAAGTTGGTCACACTTTACAATAAGGTTCATTAGTTAATGTTAATGAATGCATTTACTAACATGAACAAACAATGAACAATACATTTACTACAGTATTTATTCATGTTAATAAACGTTAGTTAATGAAAATACAGTTGTTCATTGTTAGTTCATGTTAACTCATGATGCATTAACTAATGTTAACAAGCATGGACTTGGATGTTAATCATGCATTAGTAAATGTTAAATTATGATTAATAGATGCTGTACATGTGTTGTTCATGTTAGTAAATGCATTAACTAATGAACCTTATCGTAAAGTGTTACCGTAAAATTTAAAGATCTGATATACAAAATATAAAGACTGGCCATAAAAGTATGAGCTATTGCATACATTTTAAAGGGCAATGCAAAAGTGAAACTGTACTTTATAATTGCTGTTTAAAAAAAAGTTGTAAGAATTATTCAATTATAAATTAAAGTTATGCAATTTTAATTAAACGAGGATCAAGGACTCACAGTCTTTGTATTGATCTGTAGTTTTCTTTATGGTGGAGAGGGCAGGAACTGCATGGGAAATTTAAAAGAGCATTTACAGTTGCAGAACAAATGCAGAATTTTAGATTACACAGATTACAGGTTCACATTTCTGAAAGTAACTTTAATACAGCTTTTTTCATTTTTTTTTCTGCCAGCAGCTAACATCACATGAAAAGACAAGCCAGCAGGGGGTGCTCACCCTACAGTCTGTGTGGATACTGGTGCCTAGTGCAATGATGAGAACATTATACTAGAAACCTGACGTGTCATGGGACAAGATTTGATGGATAAATGTGGGTGCAGGCGGTAAGGTCTTCATGTAGTGTGGGTTGTGGGAGAATACAAGTATTTGCTGGACTCCCACAAAATGGAGATATCTTAAAGTTTACTAAAAATAAATACTATTTACTAATAATATTATCTACTGCACAAAATCAATACATTAAGGAGAACTGGTGCAATAATGTGTTTGTGTGAGACAAAATATGCTCTCTGCTCTCCAATTCTACTTGCCACATTAGTTAACCCAACATTATTTTTATTAACACTGAGAAAACTGAGAAAGCCTCAAATGTGTTGATGTAACCTTAAGAAACTTGACGCTAAATCTCCAGACTCTCCAAAATATATTTTGGGTAAGTTTAGTGTAACTTAGACAACATTTTAAAAGGATATCATTGGTATGTTTCTTGTGCAACTCACAACACAATTCTCTTATGCTATTTTCTACTGGTGGTACTCACTTTCCGTTCAGAGCTTAGTAAGGACAAATAAAATAAGAAATCCCTGATAACAGTAAATACACTGAGATAGGCTGAAAATCAAACCTCTGTTTGTATAAAACCTACTCGCCTTTTTGTACATATTACACCAGTACTGGTTTCTCTACACAGATTACTGATCCAGTTTAGAATTAATTACTCCTACTTTGTGTTTTTAGTGACCTTTGAGATGACTCCACTTATTTTCTTTAGCTTTTAGTTATGTGTTTTAAGTTTATGTATTTTGGCTCCATACTTGTTTGCAGGTTTGTTTGTTTTTTTTTGTTTTTTTCTTGTACATTTACACTTGCACACACATGCACAGTATATTTATTAGTAAAGTTTCAGTGTTGGTTCTTATGACAATATTATTCAATCACTAATGTCACATGTGGACAGTAACATTGTATTTATTCACAAATTTATCACACCACAAAATATTATCCAAATTCTCGTATTTGTGAGACACAACGCATAATTAGGCTATATAAATACACCACTAAAGTATCTCTATAGCTATTTGTAAAGAATGTTGTCAACCAGAAGTCAGCAAAAAAAAAAAAATAAAAAATCAAATGATTCACTTTATACTCACTTTTTGTTGGGTCCATGGTACTTGACCTTCCACGATGTGGATCTGGAGTGCAGAAAAACGTACTTTACCCACAGTTCACATAGAGTGAAATGTACAGTATTAAAAGCCTTTATAAATGCGTAATTAAAAGTGACAGTTTACCCTGAGACATCTTGTTTTTTGTATGGCTAATTGTCATTTGTTTCACAGTAAGCCTTAATTCTTCAGGGCTCCTCAGGTGACAATCTATACTTTCTTCCATTATCACCTCAAAGCTCTTCCCCTCTGACTGAGCTCCTTTCCAGGGTTGATGCTGAAGTGGTCGTCTACCGGTCTGTGGTGGATGCACATCTGATCTCTCTGCTGATCTGCTGTCAGAGACCTTAATATTCATGTACTCTATCTTTGATGACCTTGTGCTTTCCTTCGACAAGTACACTGGAATTACAAGAAGTGATATAACCAAACAATTCGTTATCTTCTCGGTGCTGTTTAATTAATCCTCTAGGTCAGAGGTTCTCTCAATTGCCCCTTTGAAATGCACTATACAGTCTCATTTCAGTCGTCGGGTTGTACAAATCGATATAATGAATTAATCAATCTATTTGAAAACATTGGCTAGAATTCTGCATTATAGACTTAAATTATTTAAATAACTGCAGTCAAGAGACTGTCAAGAGACTGCAGTCAAATCATGAACCAGATCAATGTTTCTTTTTAAGGTTTCAGTGCAGAAATGAACTACAAAATGGGCCTAATACAAAATATTATAAGATTAAAATATGGAGAAGTGATCAGATGGTCATTGATGTACATTTCCCTGAAGGATAAACAGCTCTTGTTAATATTTCAGCATGCTTTCACTTTCGTATTCGACATGAACAACACATTTACCAGTAGTAATGACATCCTGCCATTATTATATTTCATATAGCCTAGGCATATATTACACAACCATAATACACGATGATGACCATTTTGCTTTATCTTCTCCAGAGTTCATTTCAATCAAACAGAGACTCTTGAGGTAACCAAGATCTCATTGAGGCAATCTCAGACCGATTCATTTTGCGTGGAACCGATTGTGGGTTTCACATATGCCAGACGAACCATGCTACCTGGGCAAATGAGACAAATCTCTAGGTGTGAAGCACCATACCCAACTATCTTTAGCTTTAGTTCAGGTGTGTTTGATTGGAGTTAGAGCCAGACGTTTCAAGAAAATAGACTGCATTTTGACATATTACCAACAATAATAAATTTACCAAAATATATAGACCAATACATTTAATAGTTTTTAATTGAAAAATATTTTAGTATAAAATCCATATTCATCATGTATGCACACACATAAGCATGCTAAATGAAGAGACTCACCTGATTCTCTTGATGATTTGCTGTTATTATCCATTTTGACCAAACTTTATCAAGTAGAGTAACTTCCCCCAGTAAAGCCCATCAGATAGGAGAGACATGGGTTTTGTATCATTGTAGGTGTGAGTTATATGAAAGTTGCGTTCTCATTACTGTTAAAACTCAAACTAGTTGAACTTGTTTTTGTTTTGGGCTTGCATTCCAAACAACACCCTTATGATCGTAAAGAGGAGTGCCAGACAATAAACAAATGCTGTAAATAAACTATTCATTCTATAACTAACACCTGCTGATTATAGTAGGTGTTCACATTTTGTTGGAGTTATGGACTGGAGAACAATACAATACAAAATTGTCAGAACTATTAGATCACTGATTATATGTGGGTTGATGTCAAAATGTAAAAAAAAATTACCCTCCTGAGATGAAAGTGAAACATATTTATATGGTGTGTCCCTACTTGCTCAAATTAAACTAGTCAGAAGCATACTTGAGACTTTTTATTGACTTTGCTTTACGTTTAGTACACCCCCTCTGCTATCTTAAAGGGCACCTATGGTGTAAAATCTACTTCTCAAGCTGTTTGGACAGACATGTGTGTAAGTATAGTGTATTGACCAGGGATGGGCAAACTCGGTCCTAGAGGGCTGGTGACCTGCATAGTTTAGCTCCAACACTAATCAAACACACCTGAACAAGCTGATCAGTGTCTTCAAGATCACTAGAAATCTACAAGCAGGTGTGTTTGATTAGAGTTGGAGCTAAACTGTGCAGGACACTGGCCCTCCAGGAGCGAGTTTGCCCACCCCTGGTATAGACCATCATATTGGAGTGATATAAACACACACCGTCTTTTTTTTTTTTTTTACAAACACAGATAGTGGGAGCTCTTGGCTCCGCCCCCTTGTTGCGTTGGGCGGGAAGCCGAAACTAATTTTCATGTGAAGCAACACGCCCCCAAAACAGCGCACTGTGTACACACCCCTAACATAACACTTTTTAACACATCATAATAAAAACATCTGAACTGTGTTGAACTGAACCTAAACTGGCACACTCAGAACAACCAGAATTTTAATATTAAATCATAAAAAAGGGATAAACTATGTGCCCTTTAAATCTATTTTCAAACCAATTTTTTTCTACAATACAGAAGAAACACCAAAGCCTGGTTACTTAGCCTAGCTTAGTTTGAGTGATTTATTGTAATGTCTTTTAAGTTTTTTTTTTACTCAACAAAAAATGAAAGCATTTCTTTCAAAAATACCCTTGTAGCACCAGTTTACAAGTATGTGGACAACGTCTAGTATGAGGAAAATGTCTTTCATCTCTATTGACAAAACACACACGCACACAAATTTCCACGTTCCCCTTCGGATGGGGAACTCCAATGCTATGTGGAAACTTCCACTATGGGTTTTTGTCAGAAACCAATCATCTAAAGAGTTTAAAAAAATCGGGCCAATGAATGCCAATGAGTTGGCAGCGCCAGCGTGCACAGCTGGCGTCAATGACAATCAGTCATACTATAAAGACGCTAGTGCAATGCTTTTGCAGGGTGTCTCTTTCAGAACGTGGCTCCGACTGTGTATTTCTGGATGCGGTGGTTTCCTAAACCCGGATGATGGGCACGCGGGCTGTGCATGCCATCTCTTTGATGTCATGTCTGTTGTGCAGTTAAGATCGTGGGTCGCTCTTGCAAAAGACAAACCTCTAGGTGTGAAGCCGGTGCTGAGCGGGAAACACATTCTGGACAGCACGGTGGCGGTAACGTGTGTCGACCATATGGGTATCTCAGCTCGCTCGCCGTCTGCTCCCCTGGAGTCATACGCAGCTGAGTCCGCTTAGTGCTGTTCACATTCCGGGCAAGCTCAACCTTGCGCCCTACGCGCTATCACGGCAGCTCCTTGGCGACTCCACCCTGAGTCTACTCAGCTGATATGGGCGCATTTTGGGAAAGCCCAGGTCTCCCCGTTTGCTTCCACCGAGAATGCCCATCGCCAGTAGGCACTGGCCTAAAGCTGGCCTCGGGGCATGCGCAAATACACGTTTTCCCCAGTGAGCCTACTCGCGCAGTTACTGTGCAATGTCAGGAAGGTCGAGGAGTAAGTCTTGCTAGTTGCGCCTCTCTTGCCCAACTGAGCCTGGATATCAGAACTCTCCCTCCTCGCGAAGGCCCTCCCCTGGTGGGTCCCCTTGAGAAAGGACCTACTCTCTCTGGCACAGGGAAACATCTGGCACCCTCGCTTAGATCTGTGGTGGCTCCACGTGTGGTTCATAGATGCGAGGAAGACTTGGGTAACCTACCGATGACGGTGGTTATTATTATCACTCAGGCTAAAGCACCTTCTACGAGGCATGCCTATGAGTCTATTCCTTGAGTGGTGCGCTTCTCACCGAGAAGACCTCTGATCTTGCCAGATCAGTGTTGTGATTTCTTTCCTTCAGGACAGGTTGGACCATAGGCTGTCACCCTCCACTCTGAAGGTTTACGTTTCACACCGCTATTTCCGCTCATCATGATGCAGTGGATGGCAGCACAATGGGGAGGCATAACTTTATTATCCGGTTCCTCAGAGGTGCGAGGTGTTTGGTTCCACCCCACCCCCCTCTCATGCCCTCTTGGGACCTTGTGGTAGTGCTAACAAGCTTATGTGAGGATTCCTTTGAGCCACTTAATTCAGTATCCTTGAGATTTCTGTCCTTGAAAACAGCTCTGCTGATCCCATTGGCATCGATTGAGAGGGTCGGGGACCTGGAGGCCTTTTCGGTCATTGACTCGTGCCTAGAATTCAGGCCAACCTATTTCCACATTGTCTTGAGACCCCGGCCCGGCTATGTGCCCAATGTTCCTACCACACCATTTTAGGATCAGGTAGTGAGCTTGCAAGCGCTGCCCGTGGAGGAGGCAGACCCAGCCCTTTCTCTACTGTGTCCTGTTCGCGATTTGCGAACCTATGTGGACCACACTCAGAGCTTTAGATCTTCTGACCAGCTCTTTGTTTGTTAAGGTGGTCAGAAGAAGGGAAGTGCTGTATCTAAGCAGAGGTTATCCCACTGGATAAAGGATGCTTATCAGAGCCAGGGTGAGCCATGTCCCCCGGGGGTGAAAGCGCACTCCACACGGATATCGCATCCTCTTGTGCATTAGCACACGTTGCCTCTCTGACAGACATTTGCAGAGCTGCGGGCTGGGCAACACCTAATACATTTGCTAGGTTTTAAAATCTGCGAGTGGAGCGGGTTTCCTTTAAGGGTATTAGGTAACTCTTGGTTATTGAGGAAACAATTAGGTTAGGGTGTTGAAACACGCTTGCTGCGCCATTCTCCCTAACATGGAGGTACTTGCGCTTTTTCAGCTTTGTCAGTTCGGTTCCCCATTCGGCGACCCCTACAGTGTTCCTCCGAGGCCCTCAGCATCTGACTGAGCGGAGAAGTCAGATGTCAGACGTGATCCCCTGCCGTTACTTTGTTGGCAAGCCTCCTGGTCAGCCCGCGTTCTAGGTATAGGTGCCTGCTATGCGTGATCCCTGCCGGCGATAACCCCCCCCCCCCCCCCCCCCATTAAAAACCCTTTTTACTGGGTTATTTTCGACTCCCCGAAAAATAGCTAATAGCTAAACCTGAACAGGTAAGTAAGGGCCGGGGGACACATTGGAAGATTGCATCTCGCGGTGTTGTAGGTGCGCTCACTTTTCGGCATGGCACACCCTTTGCTAGGGACGCCGTAAGGTTCTTTCGTTGTGGCATTTTCCATAGATTTCCCCATAGTGAAAGTTTCCACATAGCATTGTAGTTCCCCATCCGAAGGGCATGAAAGCCTCTTCAGCTCAAAAGGATGTCGTTGCACTAGCCACGTCTTTATAGTATGACTGATTGTCATTGACGCCAGTGCACGCTGATGCTGCCAACTCATTGGCATTCATTGGCCCGATTTTATTACTCTTTCAGATGATTGGTTTTTGGCAAAAACCACATAGTGGAAGGTTTTCCACATAGCATTTCCGTTTTCCACGCCCTCGGGGAATGAAGGGTTACTGTCACCGTACCTTGCGTTCTTGCTACCTTCCTCTATTTAGTGTTACAGATCACCTTTCTCACCTGCTTTTATTTGCAGTCACAAGAACACCAGTCATTTCGGCTAATTCTTTCCACCTGTTTCTCATTCCCTTTCTCCCCATTTATAGCACGTCATTTCCCTTCATGTTTGTCAATATGTTGTCACTTATGTGTCTGTGTGAAGCATTCTGTTACTCACCCAGTATCTGTGTCCAGGACTTCCAGTAAGCGAGCGTCCCGTTATTGTGGAGTTTTTTCTTTGATGCTTCCCCAGCGTTTACCCAACTGGGCTACCTTTGTTTTGTTGCTTTTCCTGAGACACTCTACTTGAATAAAGACTTTGTTTTCTCTGCATTTGAGTTCACCTCTTCTTTGCTGGTGACAGTTACTTTAGTAACCATAGTGTTTTAAGGGGCCCTTTCCTAAAGAATGATTTGCGTATGGTACTGTAGGGGAATTGCAGTTAAATCCCATTAAGATTTTAGGGAAAACCAAGTTAAATCAGGCATTTCAATAGGCCATAGAACATGAGTCCACTACTGTAGGTACATTAGCACTTTATTTAGATAATCTGCTGACATAATTTGATCAATATATTACTCTAGAAGCTTCCTAACATAGGCCATAATGTTTCCTATAAAAATAAAGATATTAACTATCTTTTAAGACCTAAAGTTGGGTCATCCAGAAGGACTTCTCTGCTAGGCTGCAATTGAAATCTCCTGATGACGTTTAGCTTTTGCATGTCTCTTACTTCAAAAAAAAAAATTGACAAAAACAGATAAAAAACAGGCAACATCTAAGATTTAGCAAGAGTCCATCACTGAGACAGAGCAATACATTCACACAGTGTTTGAACTGTAATATCTACTTCGAATTAACTGTAAAACTCAAAGATACTTGTATGCAGCTCAGATACTATGTATAAATAGATGCTGGATAATGGTGTGTTGGGTAATAATAATAATAATAATAATAATATATTTTATTTATAACGTGCTTTTCTAAAACCCAAAGCGCTTACAAGAAGGTAAAAACAACAAAGCACAGTTAACAATAAAAAATACAATAAAAACACAGTAAGAATAAAAGATATCACAAATCAAAGTCCTAAAAAAATGAGTTTTAAGTTATTTTTTAAAAACGTCCAATGAACCGGCTTTCCTAATTTTAGTGGGAAGAGCATTCCACAGTTTGGGAACACGGAAAGAGAATGCCCTACCTCCCATGGTGCTGAGTTTGCAGCGAGGCTGAAACAGCATTGGACTCGAGGCAGAGCGCAGACAGCGAGAGGTAGAGGAAATGAATATCAGGTCACAAATGTAACCTGGAGCAGAACCATGAACCGCTTTATATGTTAAAATCAATGTCTTAAAATCAATACGAGACTTGACAGGCAGCCAGTGAAGCTGTTGGAGTATGGGTTTGATGTGCAACCGAGACGATATATGTGTCAACACATGTGCAGCAGAATTTTGGATGTATTGTAAAATCTTGAGAGATTTTGCTGGTAACCCTCCGAACAGAGAATTGCAAGGCCTCGAGAGCAAAGGACATAAGTGGGCTATATTACGAAAACGATATAAAGCCGTTTTAGTTACATGTTAAAAATGAGGCTTCAAACTAAGCTGAGAGTCAAGGAGAACACCAAGATTACGTATCTGCGAAGATGGTGATAAGACAGACCCATCAACCGTTAACTGAAATTCACTACACCTCTTGACGTTAGAACCAATTAAATCTCTGTTTTTTCGAACTATTCAGTTTAACATAGTTATGTTGCATCAAGCTTTAATTTCAGTTAAGCAAGCGTTAAGCGATGACATTGATGCAAATTAACTGGGAGGTGTAATATAGATTTGTGTGTCATCGGCATAACAATGATATCTAATCCCAAATTTTTGCAGGATTTAACTAAAAGGCAGCATATAAATACTAAAGAGAAGTGGACCAAGTACTGACCCTTGGGGGACACCATGACATAAAGGAACAGTACGCGATCTGTGACTCCCCATATAGGTAAACTGTGAACGTTCAAAAAGGTAGAATTAAATCAATTTAGCACAATCCCATCCACACCAACCCAGTTATGAAGTCTGTTCAACAGTATGCTGTGAGAAATTGTATCAAAAGCTGCGCTTAAGTCTAAAAACATTAAAATACCACAAGCCCTTGAATCAGCAATCAGTAGAAGGTCATTTACAATCTTTACTAAAGCAGTTTCTGTGCTATGTCCTGATCTAAAACCCGACTGAAATGCATCAAACAGAGCGTTTGCTTGCAGATGTTCTTGATGTGGTTGCCCCACAACCACCAGCTTAAGAACCTTCGCCAGAAAAGGTAGATTAGAAATCGGCCGATAATTACTCAGATCAGAGGGGTCACTGCCAAGCTTTTTTTAAATCGGTGTAACAGCAGTTTCAATAAAACCAGTGCTAAGTGAAGCATTCACAATAGTGGTAATGTGGGGCACAAACACTGAGAGACAGATCTTCAGAACAGAAGTTGGGAAAAGATCAAGAACACAAGATGAAGAGTTAAGTGACATAACAGTTTTTGCAATAAAATCATAATCAGCAATGTTAAGCCGGAGGCAGGAAGAACAGAGGGTGAAGGCTCAACATATGTGGAATCAGGATCACCAGCAATGGGAGAGAAAATATTGTCAATCTTGGTTGTAAAAAAATGTAAAAAATTCCTCACAGTGCTCAGCAGTTGTAGGGGTAAATTATTAGGAGGTCCAACCAGATTAGTGACTGTTCTAAACAGTCCAAGTTGGAATTTTGACTACAAATGATATGCGAGTAGTATTCCCTTTTCGCGACCGTCAGCACATTATGATATTCTGTGAGATGCTGCTCAAACATAAGTTTGTGTATCACAAGCCCAGATTTAATATATTTTCTCTCCAATTGCCTGTTAACAGCCTTCATTTTTCTTAACTCCTGCGTAAACCAGGGCGACAATCTCGTAAAAGAAACGGAGAAAGTCTTCAGTGGAGCAATATCATCAAGAAGTGACTTAAAAACAGAGTTGTATTGGGCCACTGTAGGCATAATAGGCAAACCCTCAATCTGTTGATTAAGTTGGTCAAGGTCAATATCACCAAGTTTCCTAGAAGTAAAAGTGCGTTTGACACTAGTCTGAGAAGATGGTGTACTCAGATCGAATGTGATGAGTTTATGGTCACTGAAAGGCACCACATATGCTTTGAGTCACTGAATATTTACTCCTGTGGCACAAACCAAATCCTGCGTGTGACCACTTTTGTGCGTGGGAAAGTCAACATTCTGGATCAAGTTTAAACAGTCAAATATGTCCAGTAAACAAGCAGCTTGAGCACAGTCCACATCCTCAACCTAAAAATTTAAATCACCAGTAAGGAGAAGAGAAGGGCAGAGCACACAAGCCACCGTCAATACATCGGTAAGTTCTGAGAAAAATTCGGAAGCAGGTTTTTGAGGACGATAAATGTTCAATACTAACACAGGAGAAGTGCCAGTCAATTTAAACGCCAAGCATTCAAAGGTAGTAAAACATGGCACCTCGATTACAATCAGAGCGGAAAATAACTGCTAAGCCACCGCCTCTGCCAGTGGAGCGAGAGCGCTCGAGATATGTGTAGCATGGCAAAGCACACATATTTAAATAAAAAAAGTCATTAGACTGATGTCAAGTTTTACAAATGCAAAGAAAGTCCAGATCAGTGTCAATAATTAGGTCACAAATCAAAGCTGCTTTATTATTGATAGAACGTGCATTTAGGTGGGCAAACCTGAGACTGTTTAGCTGAACTCCACTGGACGATGAAGCCTTCTGGACGGGTGCAAGATTCGTCAAACAGACCCGTGCTGAAGAGTGAGGATAAACCACTTGTCTCCAAGACCAAACCGTGTTGATAGACCCAGCCTGGTGAGCCAGAAAACTCTGGCGAGAACCTCGATGAGTGTTTGCGGGGCGCCGTAGTAGTTTTAGAGAGCGAAGCCCTTGTATCACGTCCTCCGCAGGAAGCATAGTGTGTTGAAGTTGGTAAAGATCCGTTCCAGAATAAGTGAACATGGTACAGCTTATTTCATCTCCTGCACAAACTGCTAAATACCCTCAAGGTCTCCTTCAGTGTAATAATACCTATATTTTGAGTATGTTTGAGTAAATGTACTTTATTCCTTTCCTGATACATGACATTGTAAATATGAGCGTAATCTGTAAAAGTTACTACTGCAGTATTTCTATTCACACTTTTACTTTATTGTGAACACTGGGTATTTTAAAATAATTACTATAATATACACAGCATATTATTTCTACCAACTAATAGTATTTATTTCTCCGTAAATCAAACCAATTACTTAGTTGTTGTCATTTTCTAATTAAAAACTTGAAAAAACTGTTAAAAATTGTATTCCATTGTCATCAAAAAGATGTAACACCTGGCTTAGGCATGCTTTAAGCTAAAAAAAAACAGTTTAAGAACAAAATGTATTGAAGAAGAGAATGAGAAAGAAAGTGAAAAGGAAAACAAAATGAATGCTGCTGTTTATGCACTACATGTTTATTCAACTCTGCATACACAATGTCATTATGATGAACAGATATACATTTTTAAAAGTCTTGAAGCTTGCAGTTCAACAATCATTTTGGACATTAGGAAATGCAACCATTTTGTCTATACAACTAAATAAATATTGCCAGACATATCAATAAATGTGAATAAACCATTTAAAACCTGTGTTTGGAACAAAGTGCTGCCATACTTCTCAACATAGTAATTTTTTTCTCAAATTTCAGATGTCCAATATCATGTATAGCAGGCTTTAAATTAGGTAAAATGCCCCAGAAGCCAAAAAAAAAAAAAAAAAAAAGATATGTGGTGTCCACATAGAGTTTAAAAGGTTTGGGGAACAGATCATTCAAAGTTGACAACTTGGTCATTATTTTGGCTCAGTCCCACTTCTACACCTTAGCCCTTGCACTTGTATTTATTTTCTTTTGCTTGGAAGTTCCAACAGGGGGCCATTAGAAATCCACCAGTCATAAGATGGACATTGAGGAAACCAGGAGGCTCATACATTTTGAGCTGAAAACAATGTTTTCCCAAAGTCCACTAAAGACACAAAACAACTTTGTGATGACATATAAGTGAAGACATGATGACGGGTGTGGGTATAATTGTGTCATTCCATTACTTAGGGTAATATTTTCACCCCTACCACTCCACACTTATTTTCAAGACTCAAAGGAAAGGTGTAGGGGTACTAAATACAATTGGGATTTGGCCTTTTGCTGGTATGTAGTTACAAAAATTTAGCTGATAACAAAGCATCATTGAAGAAACTTGAGAGGTCTATTTAATTATCTCCAGTTCTCCACTGATGCTTTGTAATATTCTGCCCCATTACCTACTATCTATTGTTATAAGCATTAATTGATCCAGATTTATTGTGTTCTGCAGCATAAATACCAGTGGTCTCTTCATACTTTCTCATGGCCTCCTCTATTTTTTGCATGGATTCTTTCATTTCCTTATAGTGCTGAAGCAAATTTTTCTCTGAAACACTGTCAACTACAGATTTACTTTCTTCTGTAGTTTTTTCTTTGTTTCCACTTTTCTTGCTTTTCTTTTTAAAAGTTTCAATAACCCTCCATTTTTTGTGTGTCTTGTGATCTTTATGAGATTGTCTTACACTATTTACCTGTTTTTCTGTTAGCTCTTCTGCTTCATACGTCATTCCCCCCTCTTGGGATTTAAATCCACTACTATACTGTTCACGTTCTTTTGTGTCTGTTTCTTCTGTCATTTTTCTACTCTGATATTTTCCTAACAATTTATTCTCTGTCTCCATTAGTAGACGATCACTTATTTTAAGTTTTGCTTGCTCCTGCTCCAGTTTGTCTTGAATCTCTTCGATTTTGGTCTCATATTTGGCTTCAATAGCCTTTATCTCTAGTCTAACCTTATACTCTCTCTCTTTATTAAAGACCTGTAACATTTGATCATTGTAGAAACTGCCATTATTATCCCACATCATCTTATCTATCTTCTTCAGCAGACTAACAACCTGAGCAGGGTCCTTCTGTTTATTGTTGAACACGTGAAATCTTCCTCCACAGTCGTGGATCAGCTGTTTGACATGTGAATCTCCATCTTCAATGTAGTCTTCAATACTTAAATCTGTGAGATTGTCTCCTTTGGTGAAGAGCACCATGGTGTAGCTCTTGGCGTTCTGTCCAAAGGTCATCTTGATGAGTTCAAGGGTTTCTCTCTCCTCTCGTGTGAACGGGCCGATAGAGATGAGCAGCAGAAACACATGTGGTCCTGGAGCCGAGAGCTCAATACACCTCATGATCTCCTGCTGGATCACTTCATTACTGAGGCTGGTGTCAAAGAGTCCTGGTGTGTCCACCACTGTCACAGCTCGACCACAGGCAATTCCACTCTCTCTCTGACACACCTTGGTTATACAGGTCATGCTGGGCCTTGACTGAAATATGTTACGTCCCAGGATGGTGTTTCCAGTTGCACTCTTTCCTACTCCAGTTTTTCCAATCAGGACGATCCTCACACACTCCAAGCTTTTCTCAGCACCAGCAGTGGCTGTCAAACACAAATGTTCTCAATATGACTTGAAAGATTCAGAAAAACAAAACCTTACTGATTACACCATTAAACACAGAACAACTAACAAAATGAGAACATTTCCTGTAATACTCACAGTTTGATCGAAGCAACCCTCTGGGTCTTGCCTGAAGTGCTGATATTGCAGGCTCTTTATGCAAAGATTAACATAGACAATTTACCAACTGAGGAACCACAAAACACCAGTGACTTTGAAAGGACAGTACTTTGACAGTTTAGATTTGATCTTGTTTGATTTGTGGATATATGTTTGTATTATTAAAATTCTCAGCTTTAGATTGATGTCTGTTTGGTTCGTCAATTTTCATCTGGCAGTTCAGGCATTTATGGTGAGGTAACACTTGCAAGATATTTTTTTCCTTGCTGCTTTCAAGATCAGCTGTAATGGTTTTCACAACTGATAAATGGCTCATCTTATATTAACTACACAACTTCATGCATCTTCTAGGTTGGTGCGTCTGCCTATTTCATGCATGACCTTTTCAATGAGACTAAGTAATGGTCGTGGACATGCATCATATATGCAGTTTGGACTTTTAAGCTTGTGTTCTCATTGAAGTCCATTATACATTTTAAGAAAAAAAGGTACAAAAGCAGTCACTAGCTGTGTTTCCATCCAAAAATGCGAATGAACTTTATGCGCAAAACTGAATTATCACATAAAAGACGTGTGAATGGAGCAGCATTTCCATTCATTGAGTCAAAGCAAAGAAAATCGTCACTTCCTGATTAACTGGCACCAAATATCAATAGTAAAAACTGAATTTGCTGCAGTAGGAGAAGTTGCGTCAATCTGTTCTTCATCTAATATATGACGTTCCTGACACGCAGTGAATGCGCAGTGGTGTTTGAAGGTGTCAGGCGCTCTTGATTCTAGAGGTCATTAATAATATAATAACACTAATACTGAAATGGTAAGGTGTTTTAGAATGACCAAAACAACATTTCAGATGTTCTACAGTGTGCCAAGCCTGCTGGTTTATCCATTCACACACATTTTCATCATCACATGATCTCTTATAACAAAATCACATTACTTTTTATAATGCACATACTGGAATTTGCATCTTTTCTTCTTCTTCTTCTTTTCTTTTCTTAGGTGGATGGAAACATAGAAACTGCTCATTTTTAAGAAAAGAGGTCAGATGGATTTAGGTTTTGCATCTGAACTCTTTATATATATATATATATATATATATATATATATATATATATATATATATATATATATATTACATGTAAATTGACAATAATAATAATAATAATAATAATAATAATAATAATAATAATAATAAACTTTACTCACTCTGAACTGGGGTCATGCTACACACCCGTCTCCGAAAAACTTAAAACAAGAAGGACATTTTTCTTTTAATCTAAAATGCACTTTTTCATTTGTTTGATGTATATTTGTTTATACCAGTGTTTCAGTAAAATTGAAGGTATTGGATTACCCAGATGGGTTTGTCTTTTCTGAGCAAGCCTTAACTCTACAGGGATTCTCAAGGGATGGCCTCCATTTTCCTCAACCATCTTCTTAACGCTTTCCAGAAGTTTCTGTATCTGTGACTGGTCTCCATTCCTGTGTAGATGATGGTATGGACGTTTCCAGGTCTGTTGGAGAGACTCCATTTCTCGGTTGACACCGTTAAGTTCACTCATGTTCATGTAACCCTGATCCTCGTGCATAGAAACAACAATCACATAATCAGATGCACCCACACCAAAAATGACGTTAATGAGCTTGAGAGCCCCATTTTCTACATCAGTCAATGTTCCAGACTTAAGGACCAGTAACAGGGCATGAGGGCCAGGGAAAGCCAGATCAATGAGACTCCGCAGGTCTTGATCTTCGGATGGAATGAGTTCAAGCAGGCCAGGAGTGTTGATGATCATCAAATGTTGTTCCAGTACCAAACCAGCATGCCACTCGAAGTCTATGGTGCTCTGTGACTCTGAGAATTTCTGCAGTCCCAGGATCGTATTTCCACATGAGGCTTTAACATCTCTGCATGACCCTAGTAGCACTATTCTCAGTTCCTCTTTGAAAAAGATTGACAGAATTAAACAATTTTAAGGATGATTTATTTTTTATTTTTTTTACCCATTGACCAATTTTTATTTTTTATGGAATTCAAGGCAGTGCCCTGAGAACTTTTGACTCTATAAGCTTGTTGTGTAACCATTGCTAGAGGTTTCCGTCTCAACTAAAAGAGAAACAAAACAAGAACTCTATCAAGTCTTACAGACAGATTTAGGATTTAGGACAGTAGTATATAGAGCAACCTCAATGTCATCAGTTCAGTTCAAAGGGAAAGCAGTAACTGATCAATTCTAAAATGTTTCATTTGAAAGTGATTGCACCGCAATTAAGAATCTGTTAAAAAATCATTACTTTAAAACAGTAATAATTATTGCATTATTGTGATCTGTATCACAGGTTTGGTATGAGCTAAGAAATGCATTGCATTTATAATTGACTGAAGATGAAAACATTTTATTTATGTAGTTATCGTAAGGATTTTGCTCTAATGAAAATAACTGTCCTTGGATCTATATTTCTTTTCTTTTTAGAGGTCAGAAAAACATTTAATTTTCCTGTATGTCTTATATACAACTTCACAGTAACTGGACATTCATAGATAAAATGTTGCTTAAATCTAAAAAAAAAAAAAAAAGTTTACATTGTATTTAGGTCAAAATTTATTTGTATATTGTTCTTTGAAAACTCAGCTTATTTAGTTTTTAGTATAATTTTACAAATACGAGTTGAAATGAAAAATATATATTTCAACAAATAAAATTAAAAGACTTACCAGCTTTTCTGAATGATCTGCTCAAGCCAGCCATCTTCAATACATATCACTTTTCACAGAGAAATCGTTTTAGAGTAAACAAACTCTTCTTGGTCTTTGTTTCATTTCTGAAAGAGGGTGTGTTTGTTAAAATTGTGCATAAAGGCTAAGCAGCTTGTTTGACTACATTTAGGGTGTGCTTCCATACCACTCCATTCCAGTAAGGGTTGTGATGATGAGGAAATTTCCCTACTTGGTTAATCGACATGTGACAACACTGGTAATACCGGTTTCACTGTGGGGATGGGAGTTTCTTCTTTTCCTCTGCTTTTAAATAGCTTAAAAATGGGTGCTATAATACTTTCACTTTCAGTTTTGCGGGAATTAGCAATTCGGCGTCAATTGTTTGAAGGGATGACAATGAAAAAAAATCACTATCATTAAACACAGATCTTTTATTAACATAACGAAGAAGAAACAAAAAACAATGCTACAGGCAGAAAAAAACTATGGAAGTTGGAACTAAACAAGTAACAACCATAGAACGGTTATTACATAGCCTATGTTAGAATTTTTTTTTTTTTAATGAATAAGAAAATAAAATAGAAAGATAAATATTTAAATTGCACAAAGTTTAAATAATATTAAACGACTGAACAAGAAACAAATATAAAAGAAAAACTTTCAAAATGACTAGGCTATAAAAAATGACAAGTCACTATGTTTCCCAGCAAGACGAACACTCTAGGATGTGCAGCTGGTTGCGCACACGCACAGATACTTTTTCGTTACCTTAGCCAGCAGGGGGAACATACTTTGGTTGTCTTTTGTTGTCCTACATGACTTCAATATCTTAATGTATCAATTGGCCTAATTAATTAAATATTAATAGCTTATTCTTATAAACAATCCATTTATAAAATACATTATAAATAAATCTTTAGGTTACTGAAGAATAAACCCAATATGAAATATGATCATTGCATAATGATCACAGCTAAACCAGCTAGTACTTATTTTATATATAAACTATAAATACATAAAAAAATGAAATAAATTTTAAGTAATGGAAGATTATGTAAAAAATCTAAAGACTACAGGCTAAATAAAAGCGTCTCATCAGAGATGAACATCACTGCGTTGTGGTCACCATGCTCATGTCAGTTTACAGCTTCTGTAAAGATCAGAGAGCCACAATCTTAATAAACACTTTATGTAAATGTATAAATATTTCGATAAGTATTGTTAATGGAATATTTCTAATTATATGATCTTGCTTTTAGTTATATCTATACCAGCTTTGAGCTCTAATATGCGCATTCTCCAGTATGACTATTGACGCATACTTCTCTGTAAGTTTACACACTGCATAGACTATAGACCTACAGCTCTGGTGTGTTATGACTTGCATGTTTTAAATGACAGCGAGACATGCTACATTTAGTTTTTATTGTGCAATATACATTTTAACCCAGTACACAGTAAAATAATATTTTTGAATGGCTTGGCAGCGCAAATAGCTGTTAAGCTTGAATGAGCTAAGCCTAATCTTTATTAATATTAAAACACTAATATTACAAATATTAATAAAAACTAGCCAACCTTTGATTTTTTTTTTTTTTTCGTTTCCGTACATTTTTATCAAATGAAAAATGCAATGATATGTTTATTCAGGTTTTACATTTTATTAGAATTAATATAATTTTTAGGTGACACAACTTCTATATAACATAGGCTCTGATTGCGTTTTTACAGATATCCTACAGACGGACTATTTGCCTCAAAAACATTTATGCCTGTTAATTTCAGTGCTGCATTTTGATAGATTTTGCAAAGACTTCAGCTATTCTGTCAGCTGGTACCAGCCTCAGTTTTGCGACTTGACTTGTGTGACATTTGTATCCATGTCTGGAAGACAGCGAGAGAGAGAGAGAGAGAGAGAGATGAGATCAGACCTCAGATTCGATGTGTTAATATTGGCTCATCTAAATTACCTTTTCATTCGATTAAAAGTCCAAATATTGCCAGACATCGCTTAAATGCATTACTAATTGATGGCTGCAACTTTTTGTCTGGCTTCTGTGGTCGCATCGCCCATTTTGGCAGCCTTATTCTTGTGGAGTGCTTAAAGTTGTGTGTAAACATTAGTTGTGTTTCCTCCAGATGCTGCCACTTTTGTTAGGCAAAGTTTGCAGATTGCCTCATTAACGTTTTCAGGTTCTCTTTTTGCATTTGGTTTGAACCCAAATCTTTGCCAAACAGGCACTTTTGCATTGCGTTTGACACTAAATTGTCCGCCATTCTCTTTCTGTAAATTCGACTCCCCTTGTTCTGCTCACGTGATAGATAAAATATGATGCATTGTAGCTATGTTCAGATTATAATTATAGCGCATGCTCTTGTCTTAAGTAAATTATTTAGAATTATATTTTCCATTTAATTCAAATAAATATTTAATAAAAAATAAAAATAAATGCGGGGACGGTGTCACAGTGAAAAAGTGATGTCACAGGTGTTGCGTCTTAAAACCGGTAACACCGTCAACACCTTCTATCGTGGCAAGCCTAATTCCAGTGCAATATTCTTTAACAAGACTGTCAGTTGGTTATGACAATGCACACATACACACACACACACACACATACACAGCCTTGACAGAACATTTAATATAGGATAACTCTATATTAACACCATTTATGTAGTGTATGTCATGTGGAATCACAGGAAAGCATGTAGTCAATAGAAGCACTCTTAACAATTTAACTTTTATGATTCAGCCAACCTTGGTGAACAGCGTAAAGAGCTTCACACAAGTACATTCTTTATTCATTTTTAATCACTTTGAAATACAATTCAAATGTCTAGCAACATTTTGATATGTTTTTTTTTCTTTTTCTTTTCTATAAGGGTACTACTGTGGTGTTCTGTATCACTGCTGATACAAGCTATCTATTTAAAGGGCACCTATGGTGTAAAATCTAGATTTCAAGCTGTTTGGACAGACATGTGTGTATATATATTTTTTTCAATGTAGCAACATAAAAACGGTGGACAAATTGGAGCGGTTTTAAGACTGACCGCAACTTGACCAAGGAGTGCGGCCAACCAATATTGATTGACGGCCTCGCGTCACGATCATATCCTCAGTTTCTTGTTTCACGACCGCCATTTTCAGCGTGTGAGTCAAAGCGATGTCACTAAAGGAACACACGTGCTCTATTTTTAGATTAAAGGCTCATTGGGCTCCACACAAGATCAATATTCTCCATATTATCGCTGGTATCGGAATTATTGCTTGTACTTTTTGCGTGGTGCGTGCATTTTGGAGTTCTGAGCGTGGGTTTTTGTCAGGGTGCACGCGGCAGAGCTTCGGGTTGGCGGCTCGGCGCGACGCCGCTGTGTTTGCCCTGGTGGAGGCCTGTGTTTAGAGTTCTGGAATGCGTGGCGTGACGATTCGGGACACTTCATGTTTGTGCCGTGCCACTGAGAGTGTCTGGTGTGCCGTGCTGCGGCACATTCGGTGTCTCAGTCAAAGTTTATTCAGTGTGTGTGGTAATCAGTCTTAGTGTACAAGCTCGGCATTTGTACAGCGAGACTATACTAACTATACAAAGACACAAATGATTTTGTACTCTCTGCTTGGTCTGTGTCCCAAGTCGTACATGTACGGCAGAATGCTGATCCTAGCTTAGCTTAGCTTCTCTCTCTCTGTCTGTCAGCCTATCGCAAACACAGAGCGGGGGTGCTCTTGGCTCCGCCCCCTTGTTACATTGGGCGGGAAGCCAAAACTAATTTTCATGTGAAGCAACACACCCCTAAAACAGCAAACTGTGTAAATGCCCCCAAACATAACACTTTTTAACACATCATAATAAAAACATCTGAACTGTGTTGAACTGTACTTAAACTGGCACACTCAGAACAACCATAATAATAATATTAAATCATAAAAAGGGGTAAACTATGTACCCTTTAAATCAGTACTAAAGAACCTCAAATTATCTTTATCTATCCTCCATCTATTTTTGTCATATAGATAAGTGTTATACATTTTTCAAAACTGCAAAGTATTTTATTACTTGTCTGCACCCATAATCAAAACAAAATGGTGCTTTTTTTTCTAAAATGAGGGTCTGCTGTCACTTTCTCATTGAAGATCAATCTCAAATTATTCTGAAAACTCAGCGAATACTTCACACAAACATTGACAGTCTATGAGAGCTTAGAATTTCTGCTTTTAAATTATATGACTTAAAGATAACAAAAATATTATCAGTTTATTTAACCCTCAGGGGAGGTGATTTTGGGACCCCTAAGATATTTAGTCATGCCCTGACATATGTGCTTATTTCAGGTACTTATTGCATAGTATTGGCTAACATGTATTTGTGTGTTTTTTTTTTTTTTGTATTCAGCCTAAACTGTGCTATAATTATATGTGAGAAATATGGATATACATGCATGGTTAGTAAGTTTTAGAGAGAAGAAAATGTAGCCTCATGTCTGTGTGTTTGTTTTGCATGGAATTTACATTTACATTTTACATTTACATTTAGTCATTTAGCAGACGCTTTTATCCAAAGCGACTTACAAATGAGGACAAGGAAGCAATTTACACAACTATAAGAGCAACAATGAATAAGTGCTATAAGCAAGTTTCAGGTCTGTAAAGTCGAAGAAGGGATATATTAGTAGTATTAGTATTTTTTATTTTTTATTTTTTTTGTACAGTTAGTGTGATATTCAGTGAGGCGATTACAGATTAGGAAGTGTAGTGGAGACTAAATAGTTGAGTTTCAGTTCATTTTATAGATTTTTTTTTTAAACAGTTGGTGGAGGGACAAAAGAAAAAAAACATGCACGCTGTTTATTTTCCCTAATTTGCAAAAGCACACACTTTTGTTGATATTGTGAGTGTACACAAAAAGTAAACACATACAAATGGTGTATACTACTTATTTGTGTGACCAAAATCAACAGAGTATTCTTGGCATCTTTGGTACTGATAAGAAAAAAAGACGCTGGTGACCTCAGAGGGTTATTAAGTAAGAAAGCAAGGACATGCACAATTTTTTGTTTAACCCTCATTACCTTGGTCAGCTGAACACAATGCACCTCTTGCT